TTTACTTGTCCTTGGTTTTACAGATACATACTAAATGTGTTTTTTATTTTAAAATAATAATAATAATGTACATATTATATACAAAATGCAACATCTTCAAGAAAATAATATCAATGCTAGAGGAATAATATTAAGTTTTTTTTACTACAAACTGTCATTTACTTACATATTATTATTATTATTATTATTATTATCATTAATAAAGTATTATTGTTGTTATTTTATGTCAGAATGTGTTTTGTGCAGTTTACAATATTGACCACAAGATAGCGCGTCAACACATGTTTGTTTGTTTTTTATTTGCACACCGGAAGCAGTGACCAAAAAAGGTCAATAGGTGGCACCAGAGCCCTGTCTCTTTACAGGGCTCTGGGTGGCACTAAAACTGCTTGTGGAACATGTTACTAAGATCCCAGATAAAAACAGAAAACTAAATGCATTTCTTAATGTACAGATGTATGCTCAATAATCCAGGTTAAAAAAAATCTAAAAAATGTTAAGTCAGGTTCTCTGGACGGGTTCAAAAAACAAAAAAATGTAGAAACGTTTTATCTTTCATTCGAAAGACTTTTTAGTCTCAGGAGCTCAGTCTTATAAATAGCAACTTCTCATACATGTTGATATTCAAAACTGTTCACATGATCAAAGAGGACCATCAGCCTATGGATTGTTAGCACCATTATGGCTGTTTACTATTCACAGGGGGCTGAGTGATACTAGCAATAACAGCATTGTAAGAGGGGGACAGTTGAACACGGAGGCCTCCACCCCTGTTTAATGATGGACGATTTCTTTTCACAAAGATGGCCTCCTTTACTCCTCTCTCAAACCATCGTTCCTCTCTGTCCAGGATGTGAACATCTTCATCCCTGAAAGAGTGACCGCTGGCCTGGAGATGAGTGTAGACCTCAGAATCCTGGCCTGATGATGTTGATCTTCTGTGCTGGTCCATCCTTTTGGCCAGTGGCTGTTTAGTTTCCCCGATGCAAGACTGATCACCGTCCTGACACTGAACAGCATACACAATATTACTCTGTTTGTGCCCGTACAGAGGACCTGACTTAACTTTTTTCGATACATTTCTTAATATTCTTGTTATTTGCAGATTTTCAGATGACCATAAAATATTACCTTATATTCTGCAACAAGCTGTTTGTCTGTCATTCTGGTAAATCTGAAGTGGACCTGCTGTAAAGATCATCCTTAACAGAATAATCTTAACTAATAAAATGTTATATTCTAAAAACTCATGGCCGTCTTTTAAACTATGTGATTGTGGCCATATTTTCTCTTAAAGAGGTTCTCTTTTTTCAAATAAAAAAAAAACTGAATTATGTTTGTTTTGTAAATTGCACAACATTATTAAATCTATGAGTTACAGAAAGTTCCTCACTCATCTTCTGGACCAGCTTTGTTTCATTCAGCATCATAAATAAGGAAGTTGGATCATCCCAACAGTCAAAAGGTGTGAGGCAGAGAGGCCGGGTCCACTCAGGACAGATCCACACCAGTCCATCACAAGGTCAGATTCAGGAAGTGTTTATGATTAAATAACTTTGTTATATCATAAGCACAAATTTCAACAAGAGCAAACTGACTCAGTTCTCTATTATCCTGTTAATTGTTTGTCAAAACAACTGCAATAAATAATTTACTCTTTTTTACACCAAATTTCAAATATTCTTGATTTCATTGCCTTGCACATGAGAGAATAGGAAGGAAACTCAGAATGGACTCACTGACTTGTGCCCTGCTGTTTGTATGAAAACACAAACAGATCTTTTTCTCACTGCTTCAGTTCTTTTCTAATTTATTGTGATAATTTTTCTTGATTTCATTTCCTATCTTAGTTTGTGAGGTGTTGAGATTTTGTCTACAACAACAAATAGCTCTGAAAAAGATTTGAAAATAATTTTAACACACCTGAAACTCACAGCCCAGGAGCAGATCTTTGTACAGGTTTCTTTTATCTTTCAAACTCCACCCAGTGAGGCAGAAAGGCCACTTCTCCTTCATGTGGAAATGAAACACCTCCCAGTTTCAGGTCCATGTGCTGAGAGAAGCTCCCTCACTGATCGAGGTTCACACATTCAGCTGTCTTCCTGAGGTCCACAAACTTTGATTTGAATTTTTATCATTAGACTACTTTAAATATACTAGCATATCTTAATTGTTATTGGAGATTAAGCTGATTTGTCACAGTTTAAAAGGTAAATTCATAATATATTTTGAATATTGGATACTTGGAAACATTGCACATCATGCAGGCTTTAACCTGCAGGACTCACATTGATGATGCAATAAGAAAATATTCAAAACTTTGTTTTTTTGGACAATGTCTTTTGTCAAAGTGGAAAAACCCAAGCACCTGACACAACAGTAAATAGAACACGAGGCTTGGGAACAAGATTTGTAAAGCACACACAGTAAAAATATATCAGCGTGGTGCTAAGTAATCTGATTCCACATACAAATACAGTAATTGAACAATAAGTAGCATATCTGAGTAGCAGTATTAGGGGATATAAAGGTTTGCTTTTAAGTGACATGTTTTCACAGAGAACATGGCGTTAAAGAAAACATAGAACAAAATGATGAACTTTAGAGGCACAGTGTCTGTTTGTGTCTGCACACTGCTGTTGTCAAAGGAACAATTGTTGCTAAAGGCTTTCCACATCCCTAATGAAATAAAATAAATGCACTAAAGCACCACTAATGGAGTTATGCAAATATTACCACACAAAATACAAACGTCTCACAGATCATTTATTTTGTTGCAGTCTACTTATGACAAGAACCAAATGCAAGCAGCATGAAGCAGTCTGTGATGCAGGAGTCATCCCATCAATGAGTCAGGATTGAGGTGTTGTGAAGGATAAAAGCAACATTTCTGGAGTAATTGTTGTCATGTGATGCAGAGATAAAACCAAAAGCTGAGAACAACAGAAAGAGGGAGACAGAGAGGGAGAGGGTGCAGAGAGAGATGGAGAGCGAGTTCTGTTGATGAGTCAGAGGAGGCTGATTCTGATGCAATCCTCCAGCTCCTCCCTTCATTCCCCCGACTACCGGTACATGGCTGCTTCTGTTAGCTCAACTTACAACAAGGTGAAGCACTCACACCTGCCTCTGCCCTCATTTGTCCCACTCTGGGTCACTGAGCAAGGCCCTTAACCCAACCCCCCAGCTGCTCCCAAGATGGCAGCTCTCTGCTCCACACTGTGGTAGCTCGGTGGTCAGTGGTTGTGTCAGGAAGGGCGTCCGGTGTAAAAATAATTGCCAGTTGTTCGCAGTGGTGACCCCTGAGAAAGAGAGCAGCTGATAAAAAAAGAAACTTGATTTCTGATATCAATGTCAGAATTTTATTCTTAAAAATCAGAACTTCAAGATATCTGTTGACAGATGACAAATGTTTAGTATTTTTTTAATGGTTTGTAATTTAGACCACAGCTAAATCTATTCAGTCTTTCCCTGTGAAAGCTTGAAATATCACAGTTTTACTTTCTGTATTTTGAAATAAAGTATCAGATGTCCAGAGCATCATAAACGACATCACTTTCATTCTTCATCTGAAATGGGCTTTCACTTTTAGGCATCCTTTGTTTCATTTTCAGAATGAACAATCTGGACAGCTGCAACAACAGCTTGATTTACTGACCTGACTTTCTAGAACTCAAATTATTCTCAAGAATTTGCTAAAAAAAACAAAAAAAAAACAAGCACAATCCACAAAACTGCAAAAACACCAGAACATTCGACACATTCAACTTGAATCACAATCAGCAATAATGAGGTTTAAAACCAAACACTACACATACAGTAAGTTGTGCAGTTTGGTTTTCAGCCTGCAGCTTCCAGTAATACTTGTGCAGTTTCTCACTGACTGTACATTGGTCATCCAAAAACTGAAAAAACTTTTTAGTTGTTACCTGGATGATTGAGCTTATAACATTTATTCAAACTGGTTTGTGAGCAGACAGATTAAATATATGAGAATGTCATCCTGATGGAAAACCAGCAGTTTGCTTATACCTTGTGAAAACATTTTGGGGGTTAAAGATGAGGCTTTTATTTTGTCAACTCAATGTTAAAACCCACTTATCATAACTTTACCTGGTAATTAAATTAATTTATGATTCAGATTTTAGGCTTAGCATTTTTTTGTTTAAATCTTAGCAGGAGAGCCATTTAGTAGCAAACAAGTAAATGAACGTGCATGTCTGAAACCACATTACACAGATGTGTAGATGAAATTAGACCTTTTAGACACGTCATTGCACAAAGTAAAACAAAAATATTTTCTGCTTTGTCCTTGCGTAACCAAAACAAGAAAAAGAGATGAAATACACTACTATGCCTGAGTAATACTGCAAACTACTGTCAAAATACATGTCATGAGAGAAGTCAGCCACTCTGATTTTTCTAATCAGTCTCTTATTTTTTCTGTTATTTATGACAGAAAAAGGTAAACAATTATATTAAAAACAATGCCATTTGATAAAAATGATCTACCAGTATATTTGATTCTTCGACATACCTGTTTTAATCACAGCTTTCCCACTATTTTTCTTATCTTGTTTGTAACTGTCATACGTTTACCATTGTATTTCTAGGTTTTTATATTCACCAAGTGATTTTAATTAGCCACAAATTATGATTAACTATTGATGGGTGTTTTGGCAATTGGGGGGAATGCAAGTTCATTTTAATGAAATGTTATAGTGAAAAAGGCTCAGGTGGATGGATGGATAGATAGCTAGATAGATGGATGGGTGAATGGATAGATAGATAGATGGATAGATAGATAGATGGATGGATGGATAGATATTTAGCTAGATGGATGGGTGAATGGATAGATAGAGAGCTAGATAGATAGATACTCATTTGATTCCTTGTGCAGAATCCTTTAATCACTTGTAGCAGGGAATGCCCCACCTATTGACACCATGCTTGAGACGAGCAATTTGATCAGACTCCTGTTGCATTGTGGGCATACTGGATGTACGCATGCGCAGTGTTTTATGTTGCGACGGGACATTTTGACAGCTGCCTTTATCTGGAGAAAACTGATTTTTAAATACGGTTTGAGAAAACCAGAGATATATGAGCAGAGATGGACTACAAAACGGGGATAAAAAACAACAACAGCAAATTAGCACGATCAACAAGAAATTCGTTTTTTGCCACGTGATCGAAGCTGACCAATCGGAGCGAGCCAAGTCCTACGGAAATGTACGTTCATTGTTCGGATGTTTTGACAACTTTATCTTCAAATTCAAAGCCAAATACTTTGTACACTTAAAAGAATATGGATGTAGAGGCGCTGTTTCGCCGAAAAGAACGAGCCGTGGATGCGTTTAATGGCGGTTTTGATGAATCGCCACGTGTTCAAGTCTGATAAGGATGAGTTTCGTCACATGACTCCCCTCCCCCACCCGGCGTGGTGACTGGGGGGAAGAAGGCGGACATGTTTGAGGGGAAATGTGTTGGTTAAAAAGTATCCAAGTGGAAGACAAAGAAGATTTTTGGAAGAAAGGTTTCGCTCTTTTTTGGGATTTACCAGTCGACACTTTTTTTTTTCTTTTAAACTATTTTTTTTTAAGTAGACAATGTTTTTGTTTTGGCTTTTTTAACTTTACTTTCAGGACCAACGCAGCTGTTTGTTTTTAATACTAGTTAAGCATTATAAGTAGTGATTTTTGAAAAGAAAGTGTGGATTGAAAAGGAAGTTTTCAGTTTATTTGAGTGACATTCAGGGTTGTCTGTAACCTTGGTGTGGGGGATGGGCACCACTGGTTAGGTAACCATAGTGTTTGCTTAAGTCTTAAAAATAGCTTTAAAAAGGATAAGCATGTCTTCACTGTTACTTTGCAATAGTCATGTATTTTATTCATGCTTTTATAGTGTGATTTAAAAGCCCTAAAACTCAAGAATGTTGGTTTTAAGGTTTAGATCCAAATTGTCTGCTGTTACTTGTTAGTTTAATTACACTTGGTTTGTTAATGTTTAATTTTTGTAAACGTAAGTGAGGAAAAATTATGTTGATGTGGCCCTACAGCGTTTTGAGTTCTGTCATCTTTCTACAGTGAGTCTAAAAGCTGTTTAGCTAAAACTTCATTTAGACTAGAGTACGTATTTTTCCACAACACCTCTTTTAGTAAGTTTGTAGGCCGCGCACAGGCCTGTTTTATGGTAGTATTTAAAATGTGGCTTTACGTGGCTGCACTCGGATGGATTTTTTTTTTATTAATCGCGTTTTAAACCAACAGACATTTTCTGATGCGTTTTTTATCGTTCGCGTGTATGTTTAGTGGACTATTTGATATTGGTACTCAATGTTCTAGTGCTCAAAGATGGCGACGGAGAGAACGTTCTAGAAGAAAGAGATGAGTTCATGTGGGTGAGGCTCATTTCATGGTGCGCTCGTGACCGATCCGGAAGACCAATGGGGCTCTTGGTATTCAGGCTGGAAGCCCGCGTTACGGTCGTCTTGACCAATCCTCGTCTTTGCAGCGCACACGTTGACGTAATATAATATGATAAAGAACAGGGAGGTTCGGTTTCCATGGTCGGGAGCCAGTTACAGGCCGCGAATCAATAACGCTGGGTTGGCTGGACCAATCGTCTCGTGCGTTGTTCTTAACAGACAGGTAAAGATGCGAATGGGTTGGGCGAAAAGCTTGTTTGCTGAGCTTCAAGATTTAGTGGGTGTGGCAACTTTGATAGACCTCTTGACCAGCGAATGAGAAGTTAAGGGGTGGAGAAATACGGTGACGATTCATCCAATGAGGTGGTTGGTTGGTTTATAAAAGACCGGGTGTAGCAACTTAGTCGCCATTTCAACGAGGTAGATCGCAAGGATTACGTCGTGGCGGGTAGCGGAGAAAACTGACGACCAGCGGCGGATCCTGGTTTTTAGTAATTCTCAAAATCAATCCGGATCCATCCTGATGGATATGGCTGTTAATCCGCCCCTTGACAGGTATCTACCGATAAAATTGACTCTAACCTAACCATCGAAAGGATTATTTTTGATACATTAAATATTTTTTTTTCATTTTATCGGTACTGATTTCCTGCGTGTGCTGTTGTACAGTAGGAAGTGAGATGGACCCTGAGTATTCCCAAGGTATAAATTAAGTGGCAGAGCGTTTATTGAACAATTTGTAATTTTTTTTAAATACTTTTTTCCTATTTGGTGGGAAAATCGACCGTTAGGGAAACTACGCCGGCGCCATCTTCGGTTCCCCTGGCAGTTCTCTCCCGCTGCTCGGTAGTTGGTGTTAGCATTGCTAGCATTAGCTTCACGGGCTAAAGCCTTTTTTTTGGACTGAAATAGGCGTTCGGTGAGATCGCTGCTCGTAACTATTTTAATTATGCGCAAGTACTTGTCCATGTATCTGTAACTTTTATTTCACGCAGTGTTAGTACTGTTGCGGTACATTTTTATCATTGTTTAGTCAGAAACTTGTTTAGCTGCATCATCGCAACAAAGCGGTCAGTCAGTAGGCTATCGCCGGCTTGTTGTGGTAGCCATGTGGCGCTCATGATGTTATTGTTGCTGCAACGACATGCAGCGATGGACACAGCTGCCGTAACTTGTATCAGTGGAGCATTAAATATTCATGGCTGACAGCAGACGTTCATATATTTATGGTTATGCCCGAACAAAAGAACTGAAGGTCGGCTTGTTTTAATCTGTTGCCAGGTTACAGAACTCAATGTCACTCAAGTCAGATTGGCTTGTTAGTCCCATTCAATCCCATTGTCTTGGATATTTTCTAGGTTACATTTTCTGTATTTATCAAATAAACTTTTTAATTTTTTCTTTTTAGTCATAAGTCATATTTCAGTCATTAGTTTTGTTTTTGTGTAAATGATTACTTTTCTTTTTGTAAATAAAGTACACAAACTGATCAAAGTTTCCAGATGTGGTATCATTTAAGGTTGCCTTAACTTTTTTTGTCAGTGTTATTTAGTATAAGTGAAAGTAATTTATAAAACTATTGGGACACCCTGTCACTCATTACATTCTAGGCATTACAGAATGTGCAAACATTGTACTTCAAGGTAATGAATGTATGCAGTCATGGGTAACAGACATGGAATGTACAGAAGCGTTGTCCTCCAGCAGATGACCCAACTTAATGAAGATGCCAAGCTCAACTGAGTTCATAAGAAGACACCTGCATCCTGTATGCCAACTTAGATGACAATTGATTAAAAATGGGTTTCCATTCTGATATGATTAATTTGTCTTAAGGTTGTGTGGTGAGTGCTTAATTGTTTTGCCTTAAACTTCGTTACATAGCACAGTTTACGTTTAACACGTTGGTTTAATTGGACCAAAGCGCTTAAAGGTTGACGTATATAAACCTCCAGACAGCTACTATTGGGGTTGACAAAATGTCTTTTGCAAGAGCAGGTTAATTATTCCGAGTACATGTATATATTGTCATGTCTCGGGAGTTAATACTGAAAGGTTGCCGCAGTGGTCCGGCCCCCAGTTTTGATTCCAACTCCAAAGCATGCGGGCTGATGAGTCAAATTATGGTAGAGAAGAGGAAGTACCAGTAATGATCGTGTTTGACTGAAGCAGATATTGCTGGTTTACCTATTCTTTACCTGCTGAGTTAGGCTGATGTAAACAGTTTTTCTGGCCTATAATGGGGTTATGCTCTGAACTGTGCATCAGTGAAACTGAAAGACTAGCATATATTACCGTATAGTATACGTTAATTTTTTTAGCAGCAAGGGAATAATACCACTGTACTCTTAATAACTGAATTGTGATTAAGTTGTAATTACATTTAGAGTAAAAAAAGGTTCAATTTCATTTCAGTTTATTTATTAGTGCCAAGTCACAACAGAAGTCAACTCGGCACTCTTTGAGGTTGAACTTGGAATATTTGACTTTCATTTAAACTTCTTTAGATTTTATTGTGGTGTCAAAGGATTATAAAAAGCTTGGGGCTTATTGGCTCTGTAACTCTGTTTTCTGCAGCTCCTATGGGGTTGATGTTGGCTTTACTGGATTCACAATGGACCAGAACTCTGGCACAGCTGGAAAACGCATCAGAAAACCCTCGCTGCTTTATGAGGGCTTTGAGAGTCCAGGGATGCCCCCTATTAGTCATCTAATTCCTTCAGGACCTCCACTGCCCCCAGTAAAGGATCCCAGTCGACAGGGGAGGATGACGAATCAACTTCAGTTCCTACAGAAAGTTGTACTGAAGTCTCTGTGGAGGCACCACTTCGCCTGGCCTTTCCATGAACCTGTGGATGCTCTCAAGCTCAACCTACCTGTGAGTACAAATTAATCTATATTTGTACAGTAAATACAAATAATTTACTGTTGGAACATTTAAACCACTCATCTGAATGTCCTGAAAACTTGTCTTGCTCCCTAGGACTACCATAAGATCATAAAGAACCCCATGGACATGGGTAGCATTAAGAAGAGATTAGAAAATAACTATTACCGCAGTGCCAGTGAGTGCATGCAGGACTTCAACACCATGTTTACAAACTGCTACATTTACAACAAGGTAAGCGCTGTCTGGTTTCCTTTCATCAAGCTTTATGCTTTTGTATTTTTTGTTGAACTTGTCTGAATTTCTTTGTAGCCAACAGATGATATTGTTCTGATGGCTCAGTCTCTGGAGAAAGCGTTCCTGCAGAAAGTAGCTCAGATGCCTCAGGATGAGTTGGAACTTCCGCCTCCACCACCACGCAGCAAATCGTCAAAATCTAGCAAAAAAAGCAGAATTAGTGCAGGTGAGCACCGACCTGTTGACTAAACTATGCAAAGTTTTAAATTAGGAGCGCTAATCAATTTTATTTTTGTTCCCCCCCCAGTTTTAGGAGGAATAACAACAGCCCATCAGGTTCCTGCTGTCTCCCAGTCGGCGTACTCTCCCCCCACCCCAGAAACGCCTGACTCCGATCTCTTCACCCCCCCTCAGATTATTTTAGCCAAGAGCATGACCCCTGCGTTTCCTACTGAACAAAGCATCCCTGCCATTACGGGCATGCCCCACACTCAGCCGACTGCGAAGGTAAAGCAGAATCTGTTTATGATGTAACTCGTTTTATTAATCAGAATAAACACCGACTCCTCATCCTCAAACAGAAAAAAGGTGTCAAGAGGAAAGCAGACACCACCACTCCAACCACTGTAGCCATGCCCATCATGAGCACCATGGGTGTCAGTGGAATGGGCATGGGAGGTGGGCACAACTCCCCCCTGACCCTCACCTCTCTGGGCATGGACCACACCTCTCTGGGAATGAACCAGAGTCTCGGTCAGGGACTGGGGATGGATATTGGTTGTGGAACAATGATGATCGGTACCAAATCATCAGCGGGGAGCAGGAGAGGCGTGAGTGGACGGCCCATCAAACCTCCAAAGAAAGACTTGCCAGATTCTATTCTGCCCACACCAGTCCGTCGTGGCAAACTGGGTCCACAGCTGCGCTACTGCAGCGGCGTTCTGAAGGAGCTGCTGTCCAAGAAACACGCTGCGTACGCCTGGCCTTTCTACAAACCTGTCGATGCCACGTCTCTCGGCCTTCATGATTATCACGACATCATTAAACAGCCCATGGACCTCAGCACCATCAAGGTACAGAGACCACCACACAGAACTGTCTGCAAGAAGACTCCCTCAGGAAGTCTCATGTTCTGTTTTATTTTTACTTTACAGAGAAAGATCGACAGCAGAGAGTACCGTGATGCTCAGCAGTTCTCAGCTGATGTCCGACTGATGTTCTCCAACTGCTACAAGTACAATCCTCCTGACCATGATGTCGTCGCCATGGCCAGAAAACTTCAGGTACTGAGCGATTTACAAACTGGAACAATCTTCAAAATATACTGTCAGAGTTCTCGTGTTTGAAACCGGTTGACACGTGTGGTCACTTTTTCTAGGACGTGTTTGAGTTCTGCTTTGCTAAGATGCCAGATGAGCCTCCAGCCCCACCCAGCTCCTCATCCTCCTCTTCCTCCTCCTCCTCATCGTCCTCTGAGAGTGAGCTCAGCAGCGAAAGTGAGGAAAGTGAAAGCAGTCAAAGTTCTGACTCTGAGGAGGAGAGGGCTAACCGACTGGCTGAGCTGCAGGAGCAGGTTTGTTCTTCAGTGTTCAAGCACATCGGATCGGGGGCTGTAATGATTGTCCCTGTGATCGAAGGTTTTGTTGCTTATCTTAAATATATTTTTGTTTTTCTGTTCTTTCAGCTTAAAGCTGTGCACGAACAGCTCACTGCTCTATCTCAAGGTCCCATAGCCAAACCCAAGAAAAAAAAAGAGAAGAAAGACAAGAAAAGGAAGAAAAAGGTTGAGAAGCATCGGAGGATAGAGGAAGAAGTCATGTCTGGGAGACCCCCCAAAGCCCCCAAAATGTCCAAGAGTTCAAAGTCAAAGGGCAACAAAGGAATAGTTGGTACTCTGGTGCCAATGAAGAAGACCCAGAGCAAGAAAAACAACAAGACCAAGTAAGTACTTCCACCTGCTGGACAAAGTCTGAACTAATTTTTTTGTGATCATGTTTTTAACAATTTAAAATTTTTCCATCTCAGATCCAAAAAGAACAGCATGATGTTCAACATACCTCAGCCGATGCACGATCCTTTAGTGAGTCATTTTGACTCTGACGAAGAGGAGGACACGGCTCCCATGTCGTACGACGAGAAGCGTCAGCTCAGCCTGGACATCAACAAGTTACCTGGAGAGAAGCTGGGTCGAGTCGTTTACATCATTCAGTCCCGAGAACCGTCGCTGCGTGACACCAACCCCGAGGAGATCGAAATCGACTTTGAGACGCTGAAACCGTCGACGCTGAGGGAGCTGGAGAGATACGTCATGACGTGTCTGAGGAAGAAACCTCGGAAGCCATACGGTTAGTGGACTGGACAGCAGGATACACGTGACACTTGCATTTGTTTCACCATTGTCAGAAACTTAATATCATTTTTGTTTGTTAATTTTATTACAAGGACTGGAAGAATGTTATATTTAATGAGTGAACTCATCAGCCTCAAATATTGTTTTTTTTTTTTTTACCTTCTCTTGTTTTTGTATATTTGTGTACAGCAAGTAAAGGCAACATTGCTGGCAAGACACGAGAAGAGCTCGCTCTGGAAAAACAGCTGGAGCTGGAGAGGCGTCTGATGGACGTCAGCGGTCAGCTGAACTCTGGGAAGAAGCCTTCAAAGACCAAGCGTGAGTCTTCCACATTGTTTTACACGGACTTTACATGTTGCTCTGCATGTTTAGTGCTTTCTGTAAATCAGCTCTTCATCACAGCGGTTTGTTTTCTGCAGCTGATAAACCTGCGTCGGAGGCCCACACCCAGCCGTCTCGTCTCAGCGCTACCAGCTCCTCCTCAGACTCTTCGTCATCATCCTCTTCGTCTTCATCCTCAGACACAAGCGAATCGGACTCGGGCTGAATCGGAGTTGCTCAGACTGTTTCTGTACAAGTGGGTCACATGAAGGACCCGGCATGTTCCTCCAGAGTGGGGGGTCAGAAGAGACCAGCAGAACTGGTCCAGAGAGACGGGGCTCTCCTGCGCTCAGCTTGTTCCTGCAGTCCTGGGTGTGAGAGTAGATGATCGTAACGTTCCGCGGTTCTCAGGCGGCGCCAGGAGAACCTTTGTCTCCTGCCAAGAAAGATTGTTGCGTTAGTTGAAGGGTTAAGGGTGCTAGAGCCAGAGTCTGCAACTTCTGGATGTTTTCCCTTCCTACCATGCTTCCTGTCTTTATGCTGTATAGACAAGGTGTACAGTTGTAAAAATATATTTTTCTTTTATAAAGAAGCCTTTTATTAAGCTAATTTATTCCCTCATTCTGGGAAATGATGTGGACAGATTTGTGTGTTCAGGTTTTTTTTTTTTTTTGAGTGAAGAGGGAAGTTAAGTTGTGTGTGTGTGTGTGTTGTATGAATGTGTCATGTCTGCATGTGTGTGAGATTTGGCACCACAAGTGCATCCTTGTGAAAGTCTTCATAGTTTTGACGCAGACGCTGCAAATGGCTCTGCACGCAGAAGCACCTTGTTCCGTAGAAAACGACGCATGCAATACAGGAGCTGACGAGTTGACGTGACGTCACTGCATCTTTTTGTCCTGTTGGTCGCCCGCTGTACAAAAATGTCATAGTGGCAGTTTCTACGTTAATATTTCTGTTCTCATGTTTGCTGTGTTTTGTTTTTTCCATTCATTACAAGTTTCCTGTAAACACGTCTCTTTTATTCTTTGTGACCAATCTGCAAATAAATTGTGAGGACGTGTCTTGTCCACTCACCTGTGTCCAAATAAGATCCTGGTTCTGATTTATTTAATCCCAAACAGTTTTATAATCGGGAGTTTTCTAGTGGTAGAAAAAAAACCACTTGATATTTTTCAATAGAAGTCACGAACTGGTAAATTGTTTTTTTTGCCGAAATCTACGAGGCTTGCAGCAAGTAATAGATTGTGTTTAACAATGTGCGGAAACTTAGATTTTATTCTAGAATATCTGTTGTGTGCACAAGTTAAGTGATTTAATATTGAATTTACCATCAGGGTTGTAAAAGTACATGTTTTACAGTTTCAAACAGGAGAGTGATTTAACATTAGACTATCGGGCAATTAAAATGTATACTTTATGGATTTAATGCTCCAGATGTGTCTTCTGAAGTGTGGTTATTTCATATACATGTACACATCTGTACTCAAATAAAGTTACATGTTCAACTTTTCTCTGACTTTCTTAAGGGTGGCAATATGTTACAATTGTTTTTAAATAACTAAAGCTTGCATCAGCTAAAACTGTTGCATTATTATACATACTTTAATCGCAGAAATAAGTAGTAAAAACATCTAGTTTAGTTGAGGTTTTCATCTAGTTCACGTCATATTACCTTAAATTGAAAAGTGATCAATACTTTTGTTCAGAACACACAAAAACTGTTCAGAACTAATTGTGCTGCTGCCCTCTTGTGGTCGCAGCGCGGAACTACACGCGTTCTATCAAAATGAAATATTGTGACTTCCGGTGAAGCTGCTCGGCCAAATTAAATACATATCTTTTCTCCGAGTTTTGTTTTGAGTTTTTGTTCAGACAGAAATGAAAATGATTTCCTTCCCAACATAAATTATTGTGATGTGAAATATTTGTCCTGTGTAGACAAATACACACTTATAGTTTTATATTTATTAACACATTAAAACACACTAAAGCCACTTCCATATGACCTAAATTCAGTTTTATCCGTATTCTTATTTATTTTTAACAGCGCTTTTTTTTTTTTTTTATCATTACAACACACGTTCAACGTTCAGAGGACGTTGTCTGAATGTTCAATGCTAGCTGGGTTGTTTTATTAAAACAATAAATGTTGATAATTCAAATATTGTGGGTACGATATTATTTATTGTACCATTATATGTGCTATTATTTTAAAGATATAGTTTAAGAAAATAAAAAAATGCTCGTTCTAATAATAGGGGGGGAAAAAAGATGCACGCCTCATAAAATCAGATCGAGTCCGGCGTTTTGTCGCCCTCTTGTGGTCACAATGAGGAACTGCGCCGCACAATAAAGTTAGACAAAGACACTCGTAGTGCTACATCCTGTAAGCACTTTCAAAATAAAGATTTTTTTAATTGCGAGAGTTTTATAATTTCTGTCAATAATCCGTCAAGCACGAATTTTATATTTATTTAAGACCACTTAACAACTTTTCGTGCTTGTAGAATACAAAAATATTTATAGATTATTTTGTCACAATTTTAGATTTTCTGCAACAGCATCTGATGCATCAAACAGGATGATTATCAGTTTAAATGTAAACATTGTCTGAGTTATAAGCGCTTAATTTTCGAACACTGTTTAAAGTGAGTTTAAAATACGTATAAACTAAAAAATGTAAAACGTATCAACAGTCGCCCTCTAGTGGACAAATCAGAAACTGCAACAACACAGAACCATCATGGCGGCCACTGCGAGACTCCTGTCCAGGTTTTCTCTGGTCACTGGTTAGTTTATATTTTATCGTTCACATTTGACTGTGTGCTGCTCAACGTGCACTTTGTTTCTAGTTTTAGTTTAGTATTTTAACGTTGTGTTAATTTAATTTAACATTTTCTTAGTTCAAGAAAAGGGAAACGAGCATTTTCATTCAAAACGTGAAACTTCGAGTTCGCCTGGTTTGTAAAAAGTTTGGTGAAGTTGGAACCATCATAACAAAGTTCACCCTCTTTTTTATTAGAGCACATATTATTCATAATTCATGAGCATGAAACAAAAGGATCTGCAATATTTAAGTACGAACATAAAATCACACACATTAGCTTTTACTACAGTTAATCAAGCCCTAATTAATTAACCCTATTAAAGCCAAAGCATTTTTTTGTGTCACTTGCTTTTGGAAAATTTAATCAAGATTTATTTTAACACTCATTCTGAGGAAAGTATAAAACGATGACACTGTTTGAAAAGTGACTATAGAAGAAATAAAACTGTATAACTCATTGTTTATGATGTTCTGATTCTAAAAAAATCATATCTGTTTTGTCAAAACAATAAATGTTGATAAGGTAACTTGAATATTGTGGGTACAATATCATTTATCGTACCATTATGTGATATTCTTTTAACGATATTGTTTTAAGGAAAAAACAAAACAAAATCTAGTAATGCTGTAGTGTAAAAAAGTGTCACACCTCATAAAAATCCGATCCAATCGGGCGTTTTGTCGCCCTCTTGTGGTCACATTTGAGTATTGCGTTGTACGGTAAAGTTAGACAAAGACACTCGTAATATTACTTCCTGTTGACTCTTTCAAAATAAAATAATTTAAATTAGAGAGATATAATTTCTGCGTACTGTATCACAGACCAGTTTTACATGTAACACCATTTAATAACGTTTCATGCTTGTAGAATACAAAAAATATTTATGGAACTTTTTGTCACAGATTTAAAACTTCCCACAACTGTATGCATATACACATCAAACAGGATGATTATCAGCCTAAATGTAAACATTGTCTGAGTTATGTTTTTAATTTTCACCACTGTTTAATGTGAGTTTAGGAGTAGTTACTTGTGAACTCTTTTTAAAATGTAAAAGTATCAACTGTCGTCCTCTAGTGAACAAATCTGAAACTGCAACAACACAGAACCATCATGGCGGCCACTGTGAGACTCCTGTCCAGGTTGACCCTGGTCACTGGTTAGTTTATATTGTGGCACACTTTTCATACAATCATATCGAGTTGGGCGTTATGTTGCCCTCTTGTGGTCAAAATGGGGTATTGCGAAGTTGAGTAAAGTTGGACAAAGACACTCGTAAAATTACTTCCTGTAGATACTTTCAAAATAAAATATTTTAAAAGCGAGAGATATAATTTCAATTTTATATTTGACACCACTTAACAACTTTTCGTGCTTGTAGAATACAAAAATATTTATGAATTTTTTTGTCTCAGATTTAAGACTTTGCACAGCTGTATGCATAGAAATATCAAACAGGATGATTATCACTCTAAATGTAAACATTGTCTGAGTTATAAGTTTTTAATTTTCACCACTGTTTAATTTGTAAACTCTTTTAAAATGTAAAAAAAAAAAAAAAAGCCCGGTTTGTAAAAATTTGGTGAATTTGGAACTATCACAACTTAACGTTTACCCTCTGTAGGAGCCATTTATCTTGTTTTTCTGTGTTTATCTCCACTAGAGGGTGTATTTCATTTTGTGGACTGAATATTGCAGCAGAAGAAGGTGGTTACTTAAGGGCAGGTGTGATTCTGTTCAGGTGTTGCTAATGAGAAGGGGCAAACCGTTTTCTACTGTGCTTAGTTTAGAGTCAAAGCAGATTTATTTGTTTTCTAAATGGAAATGGCAATCTGAGGGAAATAAATGATTTTATGATTTATAAGTCGAAATGAAGATCTGCATAGTGAATCTTGATTGAGCGCACGTAAAACCAAAGCCCACCAGGAACAACAGCAACCAGTAGCCTAAACTATAGGATTTTAGCTGCTACACCCTCTTTTTTATTAGATCACATATTATTCATTCAACCTTTATTTAGACAGGTAAATCCCATTGAGCCTCGAGGACTCATTTACAAGAGAGACCTGATAATTGATATATTAGCTTTTACTCCAGTTAATCAAGCCCTGATTAATTAACCTTATTACAGATTATAAAGCCAAAGCAATCTTTTGTGTCATTTACTTTTGGAAAACTTAGTCAAGATTTATTTTTAACATTCAGGCTGAGGAAAATATAAAATGATGACACTTGACTGTAGAAGAAATGAAACAAAACTAGATTAGGAAGAGATGGTTTATTGACTTGGACCAGAATTAAATGGCTTATTTCTTTGTTTCCCTCAGGCTGTGGCTCAGGCTCTGTTTCCTGTGGAGCTCCTAAATTACTGTGAGCAGCATCTTAGGAATGGTGAGAAATGTCCGTACGTTAGTGGCAACATGTCAAAACTTCAGTTTATTTTGTTACTGATTCATGTAATAAATATATCAACACATGGTTCATGATATTCTGATTGTAACATCATATCTGTTTTGTCAAAACAATAAATGTTAATAAGATAATTTGTATATTGTGGGTACAATATTATTTATTGTACCATTATATGTACTATTATTTTAAAGCTATAGATTTAGATAAAAAAACAAACAAATTTGTTGTAATTCTGTAGTGCAAAAAAAGTGGCACACTTCTCATAAAATCATATCGAATCGGGCGTTTTGTCGCCCTCTTGTGGACACAATGGGAATTGCGTTTCTCAGTAAAGTTGGACAAAGACATTCGTAGTACTACTTCCTGTAGACGCTCAAAATAAAATCTTTTAAAGCGAGATATATATTTTCTGTCAATATCAGGGACAAATTTCATATTTATTTAAGACCACTTACCAACTTTTCATGCTTGTAGAATATAAAAATATTTATAGATTTTTTTTGTCGCAGATTTTAGACTTCCTGTATGCATAGCCGCAACAAACAGGATCAGCCTAAATGTAAACATTGTCTGAGTTATAAGTTTTTAATTTTCACCACTGTTTAATGTGAGTTTAGGAGTAGTTACTTGTAAACTCTTGTAAAATGTAAAAGTATTAACAGTCGCCCTCTAGTGGACAAATCAGAAACTGCAACAACACAGAACCATCATGGCGGCCACTGCGAGGCTCCTGTCCAGGTTGACCCTGGTCACTGGTTAGTTTATATTTTATTGTTCACATTTTACTATGTGCTGCCCAACGTGCACGTTGTTTCTAGTTTTAGTTTGGTAGTTTAACGTTGTGTTAATTTATGTTAACGTTTGTTCAGTTAAAGAGAAACGAGCATTTTCATTCAAAACGTGAAACTTCGAGTTCGCGTGAAAAAAGTTTGATGACGTTGGAACCACAACAACTTAAAGTTCACCCTCTTTTTTTATTAGATCAAATATTGTTCATAATTCGTGGGCAATTGAGGACGAACATAAAATCACATATTAATTTTTACTCCAGTTAATCCAGCTCTAATAAATAAACTCTATTACAGATTTGCTTTTAGAAAATGTATTCAAGATTTATTTTAACACTCATTTTGAGGAAAATATAAAATGGTGACACTGTTTGAATAATCAGTATAGAAGAAACAAAACTAGATTAGGAAGAGAGCTGGTTTATTGACTTTTAATCTTAGAATTAACCCCGATCAGCCTCTCAGATTGTGAGAAATTTAAATATAATCTGTGGGCACACCAGCTGATGTGATCCGTGTGAAGCTCCATCCTTGTTCTGACTGTCCAACTGGTTTGATCCTAAGCTCAGTTACATCTACATGAACTTTTGAAGGACACTTTTTATGGACCCTGTTCTAAGTTAGTTCTTCTTGCCTCAGTTCTGTGTCCATTTGGATTCTGACGACGACTCTGCAGTTCTGTAAGATTAATCTGAGCTCCAGCCTTTCTAAAAGATGAACCCAGTTCTAGTTTGTCCTCTTCAGAGGTTTTTTTTTTTTAAATCAACACACTTTTCTCTGGGTTCAGTAATCCGTCATGTGTTCAGGCTCGGAGCTGCAGCATTTGTCCATCATTCTTCTTCTGCGTTGTTTCCTGTTTGTCCTTGCTGTTCGCAGGTGGGGGCAGTGGGATCGGGCGGGCGGTGTGTCAGCGTTTGGCCTCTGAAGGAGCTTCAGTGGTGGTCGCTGACATCAGTGAGGAATCGGCTAATGAGACGATGGGAAGTCTGAGGAATAACTTGAGAGGGCAGGTCCACTTGGCGGCTGTGGTGGACGTGTCGTCAAAGGAGAGTGTAAAGAAGCTGGTGACGAGTATACAGGTGTGAAAAACATCTGGAATCCTGCAGGGTTTGCTCTTCCTTTTTAAACGTCCGTGCCTCCCTCTGCAGACTCGGTACTTCCAGCCCCCCTCGGTGTGTGTGACCGCAGCAGGCATCACTCAGGACGACTTCCTGCTCAACATGGAGGAGGAGAAGTTTGACCGAGTCGTCCAGGTCAACCTGAAGGTAGCAGATGTGTCAGCCCCCTCACTAAACGAGGTCTAACTAAGCTCCAAACAGTTCATGATAAAACTTATTTTAACAACAAAGAGCAAATATTGTTTTCCACAAACACAAATAGAACAAGGTAGATGTATTTTTCCTGGATAATAAAACCCCCCTAAAAATCACAAAAGTTCAGAGGTAAAACATTCCTGCTGCGTTCTGAAAGTTGTGCAGAAACATGTAAAACCCTAAAATTGTACGAGAGATTAGAATAAAACAATTTATTTCTTATTATTTTCTCCAGGGTTCATTTTTAGTCACTCAGGCTGTGGCTCAGGCTCTGGTTTCCAGTGGAGCTCCTAAAGGATCCATCATCACTGTGGGCAGCATCTTAGGAAAGGTGAGAAATGTCCGTACGTCACCATTTAAGGATTTAAACTCAAAGTTTGACTGTTTTTTTACATCACGCAGAACAATCAGTGATAATTACAACTAATAAATTAGTTGATTTTAAGCGGGGGAGGTGCAGAGGTCAGAGAAGAGAACTTGTGATTGGAAAAATCACCGGTTGCAAATCTGACTGTAAAAATGCTGATCGTAACATCAAAATGTGGGAGCACCCTCACCTGCCTCCACTCTCATTTGCCCCACCCTGAGCCCTTGAGCAAGGCCCTTAAACCCCCACATCTGGGCACCCTGGATGGCAGCTCTCTGGCTGTGGCAGCTCGGCGGTCTGTGGTAGCGTCAGGACGGGCAGCCGGCGTAAAAACAATTTATAAATCCTCGCGTGAGTTCACCTCTAAAGAAGGAACCAGCCGGGAATAAAAAGTCAATCTTAAATGTTTTAATTACCACAAAGGCCAAAGTTTACGTATATAAGTTTGATGTGATTCTTTGTGGGGGACGTCTGCAGGTGGGAAACATCGGGCAGGTGAACTACAGCGCTTCTAAAGCTGGAGTTGAAAGTTTAACCAGGACGGCCGCTAAAGAGCTCAGCAGGTGAGAAGAAACAGACCGAGCGCTCGAAGAGTTTATTTTAAATAAAGGTTTAAACTTTGTTCTTGTTTGTCTCCGCTCAGGTACGGGATCCGTTGTAACTGCGTGCTGCCTGGTTTCATATCGACTCCAATGACGGATCAAGTACCAGAGAAAGTTATCAACAAGGTTTATTATTTATTTTAACTCACAAACATCTCTGTGTTTCTGTTTGTCAAACACTTAGATCTTTATAAAATGCGTCTTGTTGTGTTTCAGGTTTTACCTCTGGTGCCTCTGGGAAGAATGGGTAAACCTGAAGGTCAGTCCAGATGTTTTACTCAAGATGTCAGAATTGAATGAAACTACCGGATTTTTAATATTAATGGCAACACTTTAAAACGATGTAGTTGTTGTACGGAGAGGAATAATCTGGTGTGAGTGGATTTATTTGTTTTTCAGAGGTGGCAGATGTTTGTGCCTTCTTAGCTTCAGATGATTCTCAGTACATCACAGGAGCCAGCATCGAAGTGACGGGTACGTCCACCTCCTGCAGAAAACGTTGATCTTTTATATGTTTTACTGCTTTAACTGAAGAAATCTCACAATAACTTCTTTCTTTGTCAGGTGGACTTTTCATGGGTTAAAACAGCCTCACGTTGCTCTGATGAACCTCGGCTGGAGGCGGATCTCATAATTATGGCAAAATAATGCAATTTATCTGCAGGAGCTATTTAATGAAGAGGATGCTAAATCATATTTAGCTAATCTTGTTATGTACATGTGTGTTTTTTACTAATAAACACTTGAATGGAGAATTTGTTAATTTTAACGTATTAACATAGTTTTATTAAATAATTTACATCACGTCTTGGTAAGTAAACATTTCCCATAACTTCTTATATACATATTTTAGCAGCTGAGATTTAAATCTGCCTTTTCATGCCAGTAAAGATTCAGGTTGATGTGAACAGTTTTAATTATAATATTATTTTTCTCTTTACAGCTTGACTCGATCAGAGGTTGATTTTTTTAAAAACCATTTAAAGTTTGAAGCTGTGATTTCTTCATCTTCAGATTAAACAGGTGAAAAATTAAACCAATTCATTCTATGTCCAAGAACAGCTTTTATTATTTAATGTCCTGACAGATGTGTTTATACAACAATTTAAAGGTTAACTGATGTTGGAGGGGGAGGATTAGGAAACAACATTCATTGTCTCAAAGGTCGAACAGGTTAATGTGTTACTAAGAGACAGATGTGGTCATTTTCTGTTACTCAGAACTGCTGCAAAATGTCAGTTTTTTAAATATATTTACTTGTGATCGAAGGTAAACGAATTGTTTTTTTGAGGTTTTCAAGTTTCTATTTATCTTAATGATTCACAGAATGTCGTTTTAATGCTTCAATAACTTCACTGCCTCTGTTTTATTTTTATTTCTCAGCACCAACAAACTGAAGTGAAATCCAGAGGAGCAGGACTTCCGAATGTCCACGAGATGGCGCCATTTCACAGTTTATAAAGGTAAAGAGTTTAACAATTAACTTTAGGCTCGTGGAGAAAAATATTTAGTTTGAGACGCTGAAGTCATCATAAAGTTTAATTAAACATGAACCCAATTAAAAATGTTCCCTGAAGACGCTCTGCTGAAGTCTCGCATATTGCCGGTGATATTTTAATACTTCAAACTTCTTTTTTCTGCAAGCGAGGCTTCCTGTTTTAATTAAAAAAGGGGTTTGTACTTGTAAAAAAACAAACAAAAACACAAATGGCCTCTGAGTTTGTGTAAAAACATTAAAACGCAAGTGTTTATTTTACATGGCAGAAAGATGGCAGCAGATGAAGACCAGGTTAGTTGAACATTTTAAGACGATTTTCATGTAAAATACATTTTACATAATTTTTTATACAAACTCCAACAAAAGCATTTTCTTTTACAAGTACAGGAACCCCTTTTCTACTTTTCGCAAGAAGCCGTGTTTGTTCTCGTTCTTCCTGTTGGTTTCCATGGTTACACGTGAAAACAGCGTCACGTGTGGACGTTAGAGACGGCTGCCACATTGAAGAAAAACAAGAGTCAATCAGCTCTTTTTAAAAAGATTATATATTACAGAAACAAGAGTTTTTCATAAAATTACTTACAGACATCATAAAATAATACTTATTTCTCTTTTCAGCACCATTTTCTTTATGTTGAAATGTCTTCAACACAGTAAAACAAATAGTCGAGGTCTTTCTCTCTGAAGGAGGAGTTCTTTTTTTGTTTGGGGGTTTGACTGTCCCTGCCTGGTTGATCACTAAATTAAAAGAAATACAAATAAACAAAACCAGAACTTTGTTATAAAATCATCCCATAAATTCAGGAATCGGTTTTCACTCCGTCTCAGCTGACAAATGTTTATCCCCTCCAACTCGTAACCTCTCTCTGAAATTTAACATTAAGGTTTTGTTCAGTAAATTTCGAGCCTCGGTCTCTGTAAAGCAACAACCCGACACCAAAACACGCAGAGCCAAACTGCAAGGAAACAGAACCGTGACAGAACTGGAGAGTCACCATTTAATCATCACAGTGGAACAAATTTTAACAGCACAGACGATGAAAACACTAGAAAAAGGGAAGTTACAATAAGACACGGCCACAGATTCTTTGGTTGTACAAAAGGCGTTTGGTCAGGGTGTGCACAGAAGCTGGAGCCGACTGCGAGTTTATAACATTTAAATCGATCGCTTCAGTCAAACACACCACGTCAGCTAGAAATAAATGTTCTTATTTGAATCTCAAAGCACCCTGTTTGTTTTAAATAAATACAATAGAATATCACTATTTCTGTACAAATGTATTGTAATGCACATTTCCCTAGTAAGAAGCTTTGTTAAATTGTAAAGAGACTAAAAAACGTCAGTTTTGTGTAAGTAGCACCGTGCCACACAGTTTCATTCAGTAAAGTGTGCATTTTATTCACCGCTGCAGAACAAAAGGAGTTTGAACATACACAGAAAAAAGTTTCAGGAAATACTGCAGTGGTGTCTGCTGGGTATTTAGATCAATCGATTTATATCAACAAGTGACGGAGAGTGATTTAGAGCACAGCTTAAACAATTAATGGTTTTAATCTCATCTTTTCTGTTTGTCCGACGCTAAAAAAAAGAACAGTCCCAAAGGATTTTGCTGCTTTCAGAGTGAGAAAAAACAACCAAGTTAAAAAAAACACCACATTAAAGTTTTAATTCTCAGCTTGAAATCACATTTTAGACAGAAATAAAAGCAGTAAAAACTTCACTGAAAATAAAAAGATGGATGAAGACAGTAAAGATGATTTAGATGAGACACCCTGCTGGTTTCAGCCGGTCCGTCCCCTGTTTGGACTCTGGTAGAAACTGGTGGCTTTTTTTTTTGTTCCTTTAGGTTTGACAGGACGTGAGGTGAGCGTTACTCTGAGCAGCATGACTAACAGATCTGTGGGTGTTTGTATCATTTAGGATTTAATACAAATTTGTTTAATGAATAAAAATCTGTTTCAAAGCTTTTGAACTTTCTAATGTTAAAGACAAAAGAGAAGTTTCAGCAGACGTTAAAGCTGTGAACCAAAATAAATAAAAACTTTATATTTATTCACCTGACTGTTGATCATGTTGCAGCTTTCACCAGGATTTAAACACGTCAGTGACCCTTTTTTAAAGAAGAGGGGGAGGTAGAGCAGGAGGTACGAGTGGAGAAAGGTGTCAGCGGAGGGGAGTGAGATGGGGGGGTCGGAGACGAGGGGCTTCAGGCCCGGTTCTCTGCTCCTGAAATGATCGTTTTATTACAAAAAATCAGTTCACGTTTGTTTTTATTTCTCCTTCCTCACTGTTGCTCCCAGTCGGTGTTCTCCTCTTCACAAGTTTTTAATTTTTCCTCGTGACCTTTAGTCCATTCGCTGCTGGGAGGATGTTACTTTGAGGCGTGAGTGTGTGTTTGTCTCACAAAATAACTCTGTGTGTGTGTGTTATCATTTACAAGTTAATTTACAAATTACTGCGCCTGCATGTGTGTGTGTGCTTGATGTTCTCTGAATAAAGTGTGTGTCTGTGTGTGTTTAGCCTTGGAAACAGACAGGTCCCACTTCAAACCCAAACTGCTGGTTGCTCTCCCCAAAGTCTGACACCTTGATGTCCAGCAGAGGAAGATGCTCCACCTGTGGTGAGTTGATCTCCAGGACCGTCCTGTCAAAGCCTTTACGATACTGTAAAACACAGACACACACACATCAGTGACAGGTGAACCTCGGTCACACGGCGGACGTAGAGGTCGTGGACTCACGGAGCAGCCGTCGATCAGAGCTTTGATGTAAGGGTTGGTCTCGTAGCTCAGCTCTTCATCGTTGGCTCCTCTGAAGTGCAGCGCCCTCTTGTGGTTGTTCTTTGCGCTTCGGTCAGCCCAGGCCACCGAGCGGTGGCAGTGGTAGGTGAGGTTCTGTCGGGCCTGGACGCTCAGGAGGCGCAGGAAGCCCAGCTGGACCACGCCCACGGGCTCACCGTTAGAGTCCACATAGGAGAACTGAGAGGGTGAGGAGGTGAAAAATAGTCACATTAAGGAGAGAAAGTTACAAAAATGTGTTGTAACTAAGAAAAGTTAAGATTTGAAAAGTTACTAACCTTACTACCAGTGGTGAACTGACTGTACCACGACCCTGGAGTCTCTTTGTCCCAGGAGCTCAGTTTTACCTGACACCAGAAGGTCCACACAACAAATTATTTAGAGTAAAACATTAAAATAACTTGTTTTAGAAAACCATTAATTTACACCGATCTAGGCCTGATTCTTATTAAAGCACATCAATTTTATTTTAACTCTAAAAGTTTAAAAAGATTTACACTTTTTTCCCAAACAGGATGTTTTACAACATCCTCAGACTGTCAGTAACTTTACAGGAAATAAAATTGTACTTGATTGTTTGGACTGACCGTGTCGATGCCTGCTCTGGGGTACAGGCACGTCTCTCCTGTAGTGAAATTACAGAGGACCTTGAAGGCATCTCTGGAGCAGCCCTGGTTCGGGTCAATCCAGTACTCTCCTGCAGAAGGAAAGTTGATTAAAAAACCATAAAAGTCTAGTCAGCGTCTGTTTGTGTTTTCAGATTTTAGTTATCAGCTTTTAATTTGACGCTCACAGGTTTTTGCAGTAATCAAACGTATTTAAACACTAACGGATGAATAAATGTAAATGTTTGGATCGTGTTCTGTACCATCTTTAAGGTCTGGCTGGCTGAGGTGCAGGTCTTGGCAGGTCCGGGCTGGGCTCTCCTGGGTGCCCAGAGGGAAACGCATGGTCTCGATCTCCTGTCGAAGTGAGTCGAGGGAGCCGAAGATCTCCTCCATGCCTTCGCTGCCCATCAGGAACTCTGTGCCGGCGGCGTCGGATGCCGGCATGTCGGGGTCGAACTCCGGCAGGAGCTGGCTGGCATCAATGGAGCGTTTGGACTTGGGACTTCTCTGGATGGGCAGAGGCTGAATGACCTCACCGGGCGGACCCTAAGATAGATGTTTTTATTTTAATTAATTGATGTAACGAGTAAATAAAATAATACATTTTTTAGTTTTTTTAAGGAACTTACAGGAGGTCCAGCAGGTCCTGTTGAACCTTTTTCTCCCTTTGGACCAGCTCCTCCCTAATAACAGAAATGGAAACATTTTAGAAAGAATTGTATGTATTTATAAAATAAAATACTGCCGTCTCTTTGTAGTAAAGTATTTTAAAGTATTGTTTACTTACAGATGAACCCTTTGCTCCTTTGACACCTTGAGGACCCTGAAAAACACAAGATTTAACATTTTAAATGATAATTAGGTGGACATATAAAAACAGAAATATTCCTGGGACGAGATAATCGAGGAACTTACAGGAAGGCCAGGAGGACCAGCAGGACCGATGGGTCCAGTTCCTCCAACCATCCCCTGTAACAAAACACGTTGATTATGAAAATAAATTCATAAAGTGTTGGACCAGTTCTGGTCGAGCTCCTATTGATGACAAACTAAACTTACAGGTTCTCCCTTGGGACCGGTGGATCCATGAGGCCCAGACAGACCTCGGTCTCCCTTTTCTCCCTGCTCTCCTGGAGGTCCAATCAGACCGATAAGACCTTGGTGTCCCTTCTCACCCTTTGCACCAGGATCTCCACGCAGGCCAGCCAAACCAGGAGGCCCCTGGATACGAGAGGAGAGGTGGTGGAGATGAAAAACATGGACGATTGAAGAAATCAAACTAAATCAAGGTTTAGAGTTAAATGCCTTACAATGGGTCCAGGTGGTCCTTTTTGTCCAGCAGGTCCTGGAGCTCCTTGCTCCCCCTGAAACAGTGAAGCACGTTCAGTAGGTGGCCTCCAACACACCTTGAGGTGTAGTAACTGGATTTATCTGTACAAAAATAAAACTCACCACTGATCCTGGAAGTCCTCTCAGACCTTCTGTTCCTGGTTTTCCTGGTTGACCCTGTGGACCAACAGGTCCGGTCTTTCCTGGGGGCCCAACTGCACCTGGATCTCCCTGTGAAAGATGATGTCATCACCGATTACATTTATTAGTTTGCATAAATATAAATGTTGGGAAGCACAGCCGTCAGAGAGTGAAATAAATTTTCACATTACCAATAAATAAAGGGAAATTTGTTACTAAGATTAAATACAAAAACTCAAAATATTTTTTTTTTCTAATTTTGAAAGATTTTAATCAAGTTATAGTGAAGTTTGATGAAACGTGTAATTCTGCTGTAACTAAAACAGATTTGATTCCAGCCTGATAATAAAACAAGAAGATTTTGAGAACTTCAGAGTTTTTCACATCCTTCGATTGTTAAATTTGTTCTTACATTTGTGAAGCTGTTGCAGGGATTTATTTTAATATTTTTTGGGATGGAAACAAAAAAGGTAACTATGGCTCAGGTGGAAACTGACTGATCATTCAGTAGAACATTGTTAGAAGTGAGGATTCCTCACTACTTTAGAGTCTAGACTTTGGGACTGAGTTGTTTCCTTTAAGTATAAACTTATAACTTATGATTAACATGAAGCATAAAGAAATATGAAAAAATGAACTAAAGGCTCTGGACTCACTTTTGTTCCCTTCTCTCCTTGTCGTCCCTCAGGTCCTCTTGTTCCAGCAGGGCCCTGGCAAATAAAACAAAAATGTGTAATAAGTATAAATACTGAATAAACATGAATACATTTTATATATAAGTTTATATTAAACTTAATTTACTGCAAAGATAGAATAAATGCATAACGGTAAAATATAACCAGAACGCCATGGCAGAACTGGGTTTTCAAATGTTCATGGGAACTTACTCGTTTTCCTGGTGGGCCAGGTGGTCCATTCTCACCAGAAGGTCCAGGAGAACCCTGCAATAAAACAAAGTGATAATATTACAAGACTAAAACTTATCAAAATGCTGAGTTTTATGTAATTTTACTTACAGACTCTCCTGGTTCACCATCCTCTCCTCTCTCTCCCTTGGCCCCATCTTGACCCTGAAAGTATAGTTTGGATAATTTTTTAT